AATCCACAAATGGATGTATTTTATGTTAAAATACTTACCTAACTATTCCACCAAAATTTCTCAAAAACAAAAAAATAGAAAGTATTCCGCCAAATTTAGACTTTCAACATTTCAGGAATACATAATCTGAATCAAATGGAATAAGACTAAACTATATGAATGAGAGAGATCAAGTGGACTTGTTTTTTTCTTAAAACAAAATGAAGTTTTGTAATTGGAATCGATTGTTTTCTAATTTTGGAATCGTAGGTTTCATTTATTTTAGTTTACTTTATCGGAAAAAAGGAAGGAACAAATCGTTTTTCTTTAAGTGAAAAGACAAAACAGTCCTCGGAACAAATCATTCGTTGGGTTTACGCGTAAGTCGGAAGCTGATAAGATTCGTTACATTCTAACAGCAACACTACTACCGGTCCGACCGTATCACGTCACCCACCCCCGACATTCGGGTCGGATCCTATCCAACCACCCATTTAACCCGAAAACTTTTTTTTTAATATATTATCAACCCACTAATTATTAGCATTTCTCAACTATTTTTATGCTAATCTTTGATATTTAACCCCTTACATTTATTTTCTGTTAGTCAACCCCCACAATCATTTAAGTTTATTTTGACCAACTAATCAATTACAGTGTCATTCAATAAACCAAGGACAGGATCTGAAAAGTTGCAAATTTGAGTAATAAATAAATCAAACTCATAACGTGTTTTCTATGTTCAAGCGCTACAAAAATTACATTAATATTTAAAAACGTTATAGGTTTAAAATTGAATTATGATTGCGATTTTGATTTGAAATAAGCTATTTTATCACAACTAACACATGTTCATGTGGACTTTAATGTAAATCATTAGATATGTCTTATCTTCATTGAAACTTTTCTACTTTTGCAATTTTTTTTTTAAAAGAATAGAAACAAGCAATTGTTTATGAAAATTTCAAAGACCTATAAAATTTTAATTTATTACTACACATTTTCATTATAATACTGTTTATGATAATATTTCAGTGTAACGGGTTATTATACAAAAAGGAAAAAACGGGTTAAGTTTGTAAGGAAAGAACAAATGTGGGGGAAAAACTGAAAACATATTCTGTATATAAACACATCATCTTCTCGTACACACCACCAATCC